TTTTTTTATATATGTAACTCTTGTTCTGCTTACTTGCAGGAAAATAGCAAAAAATTGAAAATGAAGTTTCCACCTAAGATTCCAAACAGAAAAACAAAAAGTAAAACAAATAAGGGAGGAATAACTCAACCAAATTTAAATGACAGTTTGGAAATTACCAAACTGGACTCTTCCATCATTTCAGAAGGGAAAATTTCCACTGTTGCACCACAGATCCAGGCTTTTACGCTACAGAAGGCAGCAGCAGGTCTGTTTGAACACTGTTGGAGTGCAATAGAGTAAAACTTCATATATCTTCCCTTTTAATATTGACTGAAAGTTCAGTGCTTGTTTCTTCATTAGCCTGCAGCTGTCACCTTTTATAATTATAAAGACATTGAATTTGTCTTCTACTTAACTTGCAAAGAACATGTGAAGTGGTAGTAAAAAGTGGCCAGTTGTAAGCAGATTTCTCTTGCAGGCTCTGGTCCTTATTAATGATTAAAATATTTCCAGGGAAGACCCTTGGAAGCTGATTCAAGGGATCTATGAATAACCCAGTCATCTTTCCTCAAACTGGGGTATCTGTACTCTGTTATTCCTTCATATTTCCCATTTGTTTAAAAACAGGTCTTCATTCAGATTGTCAGAAAACCCTTGACAAACTGCTGAATTCTTCTCTCTTGGCTCGATAATGTTTCCAGGCAGCAAGAAGATGTAGCCATGGATACCAGACATGGAAACTGTTCAGAGCTAACAAAATGTTTGAATAGCTGCTGTAAATGCAAAACTCCAGTTGCCCTGAACTTCAGAGTTTCTCTGTTCCTGAGTGTTCTGTTGCTGGCTTAAGAAGTTGTTACTCTCTGACTTGATTGCAGAGGTTGATGTTTAGACTGTTAAAGCTAAGTTAAGAGTGCCTAAGCCTGTGTTTGGGAACTCCTGCAAGATTTTCATAAGCAAATTCAGGAGTGGTGCTTGCCACAATGAAAAGCAGATTGTAGGATTAACAGTTTCAATTAAATAAGTCTCATCTGTGATTTTTTTTTTTTTCCACCTTATATTTATTGTATTTTTCTCCTAGAAGGTTTGATGAGCCTTCTCCGTGACATGGGGAAAGGTTATTTAGCCTTGTGTTCATACAACTGCAAAGAAGCTATAAGTATTTTAAGCCATTTACCATCCCACCACTACAACACTGGCTGGGTGCTGTGCCAAATTGGGAGAGCTTACTTCGAGCTTGCAGAATATATGCAGGTAGGAACTGTGTGTGTTGGTTCTTGGTCTTTTTGCTTCTGTTTTGTGTGGCTTTGCACAAAACCTGCAGACTTCCTGCAAAATCTGGGGGAAGTTCACTGCTGAGATGGTTGTGGAACTGTAAAAATTATACCTGGAGTGGATTTAAGTCTTGGATCTCTATCAGGAGGCACTGAGCTTTCTGAAGAGGCTGAGTTACACTTGAGGTTTATTTTAATGTTATTTCCTCCTGCAACCCACCATTGGGGTCTCCTTCCCTCTCCCTGTCTTCACTTAGAGCTGTGCTGATGTTACTGTAGTATTTTAAATCAGATCACTGAAACAATTTGAGTTCTAAACCCCAAAACTACTCTCAGTGATCACATCAATGACCTAGTTTTCTTTGTGCTTCTTAATACTTTTTGGTACAGCTGAGGCTACAGACCCTGATGTTCTCCTACAGCCAGGCTTCCTCCCTTGTAAATAACCTGGAACTGAAGTTTATGAAATATTAATGATAAAAAAGACTTAATTAGACAACTCTTGATAGGAAGCATAGCTGTGTCAAACAAAAGCAAAGCACAAGCATGTGTTGTCCCATGCTTACAGCTGCTCCCATCCCTGTGGCAGAAGTGTTTGCTGCCATCATTGTCACATTGCCTTGTCATTATTTTGGACAGTATCTGGAAGGGGGTAGCACTCAGTGTGAATGTGATACCTGCCATCCATTAGAGCAGCAGATGGTCCATACTGGCCCCTAGAAGCGTGCTGCTCTTTCTCATTTTGCAGATAATTTGTTGCCTTGCTTGTGCACTGAGATAAAGCAGTGATGTTACCCAAGTCACAGCAGGGAGGGCTGGCTGCATGTCTGCTGCTGCAGCTGGATTGGGGTAGAGTCACCTCCTTGCTTGAAGGGGAAGTTACAGGACCTGCAGCTCTGTGTGTTGCACTCACAAAGCAAGGAGGATGCTCAGCCTGCACATAGGAGGATTCTGTTCTTGACCTATGTGCTCTGCTCTGGTGGGCAGGATTTTGTTTTCAGTTTAATTTTCTGTTTGTAGGCTGAGAGAATATTTTCAGAAGTCAGGAGGATTGAGAACTACAGAGTGGAAGGCATGGAGATCTATTCGACCACGCTGTGGCACCTGCAGAAAGATGTTGCCCTTTCTGTTCTTTCAAAGGATTTGACAGACATGGACAAAAACTCACCAGAGGTATGAAATGCTGTGGTCTTGAATGAGGAGAGGGTAACTGTGGCAAAATCAGTGATTCAGAACAGGGCTCTGAGCTCTCATTTACTTCAAGTGTGTTCTGCTGTGAGAACTGCATAGCAAAACTGGAGAGGGAGGTGGCAGGATTCTGTTGAACTGATGATGCCTGAAATGGCTTCTTAGAATATCAGCTTACAGGTAGAAACATTTCCTCTCTTAATGGTTATTTAAATTTGCACTGGCACCATTCATCCAGGAAGATCATGGGTTAGTCAGTTGCTCCTGCTGCTGCCAGCACACAGATAAGGAATATCTCTTTCCTGTACCACCTTTTAATTGCTGTAGTTAATGCACTGGCACTTGACACACATTTGCTGTAGAATTTATTTTCAGATGTAACATTGCACATTTTTTATGCCAAAGTCCATTGAGCTGCAGAGTGCATGGTAATAGAAAGTCATTTGCAAAAAGCACAGTGTGTTTTAATGGGTGCCACAGTAAAAGTAATAGATGTGTGTTGAAATGTGTTCTGAGAAAACTTTAAATTATGTTGAGATTTCTGTTGTCAGAGGAGGAGAGAATCCTCTTCATGTTGTCTTGTCTTGTCTAATAGTGGAAAAAATCAACCAATGAAGCAGTTGGTAACTGTAGTAAGATAGTCTGGAGAGAGAAAGATGCAGATTTTAATACAAGGAGTGGAGACTATTCATGCAATTTGGCAGTGATGCTAGTGTCTTGTCTAATAGTAGAAAAAATCAACCAATGAAGCAGTTGGTAACTGTAGTAAGATAGTCTGGAGAGAGAAAGATGCAGATTTTAATACAAGGAGTGGAGACTATTCATGCAATTTGGCAGTGATGCTAGAGCTTTGGGAAAGGAAGGCCCACTGAGCTGAGATGCTTTGCAGTCCTGATGCTGGTTGCTGAGCAGGAGGGAAAG